TGCCAGAAAATACTAATTATTTACCCTAAACCAGTACAAAGTAAGAAACCTGAGTTCCAATGGGCAAAGACCTCCTTATCTTTGATGAAACTACACTATTCATGTCACTTAGGCCTCACTGAGTATATTAAGTGCTTCTTATACTCAAAGAAATTGATCTTTGCTTTATAAATAGGACACTTCGATCCCACCTCTTGCCTGACCTTGCTGGGATTATAATTCATTCTATGTATACAGAGGCTCTAGCTTATCTGTGCCGGTGATGCTTCATTTTGATTTAGAGATCTGAAGAAGGCAAGTGATTATCTTTTGAGTACCAAACACTGGGTTATGTAACCTACATTGCATGTCATAACACTCTCTTTTACATATAAGGACATCAGGTTGAAGACATGAGATCCTTGCATCTAAGTAGAAAGATTGCTTGGGAGACTAGCAGGCACTTCTCTGTGATATTCCTCTGCCCTCATCCAATTCCTGCTCACTTCTTAAATACCTAATGCTACAAATCTTTTTTTTTTCTGTATATTTTTTAATTGGAGCTCAATTTGCCAACATATGGCATAACACCCAGTGCTCATCCCGTCAAGTGCCCCCCTCAGTGCCCATCACCCAGTCACCCCAACCCCCTCCTTTCCACTACCCCTTGTTCGTTTCCCAGAGTTAGGAGTCTCTCATGTTCTGTCTCCCTTTCTGATATTTCCCACTCATTTTCTCTCCTTTCGCCTTTATTCCCTTTCACTATTTTTTATATTCCAAATGAATGAGACCATATAATGTTTGTCCTTCTCCGATTGACTTACTTCACTCTGCATAATACCCTCCAGTTCTATCCACGTTGAAGCAAATGGTATTTGTCGTTTCTAATGGCTGGGTAATATTCCATTATATATAGAGACCACATCTTCTTTATCCATTCATCTTTCGATGGATACTGAGGCTCCTTCCACAGATTGGCTATTGTGGACATTGCTCTATAAACATTGGGGTGAGGGGTCCTGCTGTTTTACCGCATTTGTATCTTTGGGGGTAAATCCCCAGCAGTGCAATTGCTGGGTCATTGGGTAGTTCTATTTTTAACTCTTTGAGGAACCTCCACACAGTTTTCCAGAGTGGCTGCACCAGTTCACATTCCCACCAACAGTGCAAGAGGGTTCCCCTTTCTCCACATCCTCTTCAACGTTTGTTGTTTCCTGTCTTCTTAATTTTCACCATTTTCACTGGTGTGAGGTGGTATCTCATTGTGGTTTTGATTTGTATTTCCCTGATGGCAAGTTATGGGGACTAATGCTACAAATCTTATCCAAAGAATATGATAAAAATACAGAAAAAAAGAGACAATTCTACTACTACTACTACCCGTGGAGATATTCTAGTTATTGTACTGAGCCCAGAGGAGGTGAATAAGATATAGGCACTATCATTTTACTTTATTTTTATTTATTTTTAAATATTTATTTATTTATTTGAGGCAGAAAGAGAAAGTTAAGCTGGGAGGAGGGCCAGAGAAGAGGAAGGAGTAGACTCTCCACTAAGCAGGAAGTCCATGCAGGCCTTGATGCAGAGCTCAATCCCAAGACCCTGAGATTATCACCTGAGCCCAAGGTTTAACTGACTGAGCCACCCAGATGCCCAGCACTATCATTTTAAAAATTCATTTTTTACAAGATGTACAACTCAGTTAAGATACAAGCTTTATACAACTTCTAATTCCAATTACTTCTCTCTTCACCCCACACAGCTAGTTAAAATGTATACATTTATGTGGTTATCTCTTGCTTTCTTTTTATAGCTCCAGGATCCCCTTTTCAGTATTAAAATACAGAATAGTTTATTTGGCTGATTCTCTTTTATTGTTGTGATGAGGTGGGCATGTAGACTTTGTGAGCCTCAACATGGTTTCTTTTGCCCAACAATAATAACCAATAGTTACATAGTAATGCCATTCTGGGTCCTAAGTGCTTTATTTATACTTCAGACTTCCTCTTCGTGCAGTTAGTGAGGCCCAAATAATTCAGCATGCCAGAGAAGCATTATTAAAAAAAAATTATTATTAGTTGGCTGGGGATTCCATAGGACAATTATAATCCACCCTTGTTCTGGCTATGGATTGGTGCCATCGGGAAGCAATGATTCTGTTCCTGAAATCCTGGCTGAGACTTCCAGAACAGCATGAGTAATTCCAGGAATCACCTAATGGGATGACCTCTATTTCTTCACTCCAGTCCTAGGATATATAACTGGTAAAATTCTGGGCACAGGGACTGGGCAAAGGCAGAGTGATTTAAGTTATGTGTGAATCTGCATTATCATGAGTAGAGTCATTCCAAGAATTTTCTGTTTTAACTCATTAAAATCCTAAGACAAATATGATTATTATCACCCCCATTTTTCAGATAAGGAAACTGAGGCATTGAAGGTTGAGCAATTTCCCCGTATAACTAGTAAGTGAAGGAGCTGGGATTCTTGGCAGGCAGTCCAACTCCACTCCACTGCCTGCCCCTTTTATCTTTGTCTGCCATAGGATTCCAAAGGGTAAACCACATATTTACCTAGTGAATTCTTATCCAGGATCCACCCACCAGTGTCCTTCGAGTGTTTTGCTCATGGCAGAGGGATTTACTATCCATATAGGCAACAAAATAAGATGACTGCATCTCTGAGAGAAAAAGAGAAGAGGATGAAATGTCCACCTTTCTAATACTAATACCAGAATGGAGCTTTGGGAGGGCTAGGGTTGGTAAGTACTGACTCAGAGAGCCAATCTGCAGAGGCCAATCTGCAGTTTGTGAAGAGTCATGATCCTGTCACACTGTTAGACCAAAGTCCCCAGAGTCAGACCCATCAATATTCCTGTAGCATGACAAACCCAGCAAGGTTCCAGAATGCTAACTAGTAATTATTACTGTGCTAGAGTTAGTCTTGTTCTCTCTCTTTGCCTGGAAAGCATAAATGAAATCACGTTGCCATTTCTTTTATTCTTTATGTCTTCATACTGTTAGGTTCTTTCTTTTTGCTCTTTCCCTGCTGTTAGCAAGATGAAAAAGGCTCCGTATTCCAAGGCTTTCTGTTGACCTTTGAGACTTAAGAGTCTCCCACAAGGGAAAGAAAGCATCCCTGAAATAAATGAGAATTCATGAAATATCTCAGGCTTGTGCAGGAAACAAACGACTCTGGGTTCTTTTCAACTCACAGCACACAGCAGGCAGAAAAGCAGCAATTTGAGATTTCAGTGAGGCTGGGAGTCTCACAAGATAATGCTGAGGGTTGGCAGTCAAAGATACTAGTGAAGTATTAGTGCTGCAATTTTAAAATGTTTATACTTCCCAGAGTTTAAAAAAATAAGGCAGCCATAAGCTTATTAAATTCAGGCTGTCAACAGAATTTCTTTTTAATTTATCAATTTGGGGGGATTTCTCTTGTTTTGGTTTGGCAAAAAGACATCACCAATTGCACACATTCATAAAGAGTTCTAGAGAAATAAAATATTATGCTATAAAGGAGAGGCAGCATAAAAGTTTATCAGCTTGGAAGGAAGACAAACTTATTTGAATTGCAGGTTGAAAAATTAATAATTCTATTTTCTTACAAGAGTCATTTAATAACATCCTTGTTCCTGAATTACCTAACTTGTTTTCCCTCTTCTACTCTTACCTGTCATACTTAGGTTTAAATCTATGTTAAATATGTAGTTCTCATGATGGCCTATCTCACCTTATTATTCCTGATGAATCTCCTTTCCCCTTCACTGCTGCTCTAGCCACACTCACTTCCTTGTTCTTTTTTTTTTTTTCTTTGTATTTGAAAATTTTATTTTTAGAGATGTCACCTTTGGAATTTAAAATAAGCAGGGTAAAAAGCAACATATTTAAAGAAATGTTTTAAATACAGGAAGTTTCTTAAAACTTAGTGGAATTTTTCAATTTTAAAAAAACATTTTAATAATTTCAAAAATAATTTTGGCAGGCATGGGCAAGGATAGAGGAGCTGAATTATTTCAGTGTCTGATTAACGCTTTCTGTCTAGTCCAGTCAGGTAAGTAAAGGTCTGTAAGGGAAGTCCCATCTTAAGAAATCAAGGTATTGAAAATAACATTAGCCTGGGACCATACCATCTAAGAAAAAGAATAAGAACCAAGATATATAATCAAACTATACTCATGAGATCCTATTCTTAGTAATAGAAATACCCAGTATATGCAATATAAAAATAATTCTTTCCATTTAACACATAGCATGAGCCAGGCACTGGGCTAAGTGCTTTACAAACATGATTTCTAATTCTAAAAAACATTCTTAGGTAGATGGTTAAAGCTGTTTTTTGAAGTAGAGGAAAAAAAATAAGCTTATCAAAGTATAATGATGCCTCCAAAGTCATACAGCTGGTAGGTGTCAGAACTGGGGTTTGAATCCAAGGTTTTCTTGCACACCACACAGCATCTACTACATAGAAAATTAGCAGAAAAAAATATTACTTTATCCAAATTTCATTTGTAAAATCTCACATGTGACCTACCATTCTAATATGGCAATATCTAACTTTCATGGCATTAAAAAATAATGAAGAAAATCTATTGTGGTCTTCTCATGAGTTTGGAAAATAGTGTTATCACAGATAACAATCAGCTAGCTATTCTTGGCCTCAGTTCCAATGACTTAGAACCTGTTACTCAAAACAAGAAGCCCTCCGATTCAAATATAAAACACAGTATTCTTTTTAGTCACAAAGATCTGAAACACCATTTTTGAGCCATTTCCGCCTAAGAATCCAACCTGCATCGTCCGTAATAGTGAAAATATTAAACTAAGAAATCCCTGAAGAAGTCACAGTCTTGACAAAATTCAACATGATGATGGAGCCTGCCCAGACACAGGAAACAAAGCTAGGCCCTTGCACACAGCCGTAAGTCCTCGCGATGATTTCGTTTTAAGTCAATGTCTCTTCATGCCGCACATATTCCCCAATGTCTGCTTGATGAAATACGACGATCACCATGGGGTCTACTTTCCCGCAGCCTGTGTAGACTTTGCTGCCACCCCAAAACCCAAAGGGACGTCTGCCATGGAGTACACCACCACTCCCTGGTACTGGCAAGTATTTTCAGTGATTGGACCCAGTCCCGATTTCAACACATGGTTCCCATACAGGAAAGACTGCTCTGCTCCAGGCTTTATCCACACTCTATACTTGGCATAGGGTGCGAGGTAATCCAGAGCTGTGATGTGTAACCGGAATCTGTGACTCTTGGTGAATTTCCTGAAGCAGGTCCCCAGCGACACCGGCTTGTCCCCAGAGATGCTGGCGGCCAACTTCAGGATCTTCTCGCTCACGTAGTACACCCGGTCGTTGTGCAGCCTGAAACAGGAAGTGCCGTCCGGCCTGTCCACCAGCCGCTGAAGATTCTCGCCGACGTATTTCGCCATCTTCCCAAACGTTACGCGGCTCTCTTCTTCAGTCAATGGCCGCACGTTCCCGCTGGGTTGCAGCGACGAATCCGCAGGCCTCGGGGGCCGGAAGCGGAAGTCGGTGCCGCCGCGCGGGCAACCCCAAAGCCCGCCTCCCCAGCGGCCTTCCATTCGCTCCCCACGCCGGCGCCCCCGGCCTGGACGACCGCAGGGGAAGAAAGCCCCCTTGTTCTTTCTACACACCAAGCACAGATCCACCTTGGGGCTGTGTCCTTGCTGTGCTTGGAATAATTTACTCACTGGCTCCTTCACTGCATTCACTTCTTTTTTTTAAAATTTTATTTATTTATTCATGAGAGACAAACAGAGAGAGGCAGAGACACAGGCAGAGGGAGAAGCAGGCGCCATGCAGGGAGCCTGACGCGGGACTCGATCCCGGGACTCCAGGATCGCGCCCTGGGCCAAAGGCAGGTGCCAAACTGCTGAGCCACCCAGGTGTCCCCATTTCTCTTCTTAATTTTATCTCTTAAGAGCAGGCTTCCCTAAACTAGTTACCTAAAAAAAGTACCCCTGTCATTCTCAATTCCCTTTGTTTTCTTTATTTTGCTTCTTAGCTCTTATCTATATCTAAAGCTGTATTAGTTTATATGGTTGCCATTCTCCTCCACTTCAGTATGAACAGCACATGTGCACATTTCTATTCTCTTTTTTTCGCCACTCTATGCCAAAAATCTAGAACAGTGCCTGGTATGTAAGAGGCATGCAACCATTATTTATCAGATGTACCTTGGTCTCTCTCTTTTTAAAGTGAAGATAGGAAAAATCCTCATTGCAGTCTTTGTAAAGACCGTAAATAACGTATTAAATGGAATCCCAAAGTCCCCTAGCACATTGAAACAATCTGTCTGTGCCTCATCCTTTTCCTTCAGACTTACTAGTTGTGTGTACTCTGGTGGACTTCCAGCTGCTAATGAATGGCACTCTTTGCCCGAAGCCTATTTCTGAAGCCTTGAAAGAACAGAAGTAACACTCCCACCTTAATCCCTCAAATTGTGACTCTCAGGTGTTGATGTATAAATATTTCAATTCCCCACCTCTCAGGATAGTTCTGAGGCTTGCATTTTGCACCCTTCTCAGAGTTTCTCCACGGGATCAAGCCAATCACGGTAGTAGCTAGCTTGATAATGCATCCCATATTGGCTGCATTCTCTTTTCCTTTATCATTTCTCTACTCCCCTACTGTGGTTTCCAAATAAAATAATTGCACTGAGTCATTGTCTAAGGATCAGCTTCTGGGGGAACTCAAACTGAGTTATTTAAAAAACGGTAGTTGTATATACATAATGACTTCTAGTCTACCGGGTAGAAGTCAGACCTCTTGACATAAAATATCTGTCTGTGTAAGTGTGTGCCATCCTACAGGGATTAATTATTAAAAATAATCGTGTATTTCTCTGATATTTAGGTCATGCCAAAATGTTTTACATTGTAGTTCTTGCCTCTGTATTATATACTTGTTTTCTGCTAACATAGCTTCAAATTTTTCAAATGCTTGAGGAGGAAACCGGTAGGGTGTTTGAGGCATTTCAATTCACTACCCCTGCACAAATGCCAAAATCTCCACCAGTCTCCCCTAACAGCAGCCTGTGCCAAGGCCAAACCTGGGTTTTTAGCCTCTTCTGTGCTCTGCCCATCCCTCTCCCTCCCCCGAGAGATATCTCCAGGTAAAAAGAGGATATAGATCTTCAGTGTCAATCCACTACTTTCTCTGAGGATTTCATCTGTAGCCTATTTTAATTTCAGGATTGCCCTGGTTGATCATTGTCTCTTAAGTACTGCAAGAAATTTCATTCTACCTATCAGGGTTTTCTTTTTTCTTGGTTCCTAATTCTTATGCAACTTCGGATTTCAGCAAATATCTTTTGCAAAAAGCTTAATCAAATAGTTGGGGTTTCTGAAATCTCCAATTTTAAAAGATTTACTGGTTTCTCTATCTTCTAGTATCAGTCTTATGTCTGGGTCAAGCACCATTTATTTGGTGTAAGCCTACACCAAAAACTGAAAAACTCTGAATAGGTGAACTACTGAAGTCTTATAGAGTCAAGAAGACAAAAAACTCAGCAGGCTCTTAGAAAATAAAACCCTAGAGGACCACATCCTACAAATACTGGCAAATCAGGAGTAGACTGATTTTTAGCAAAACAGATCTAAGGAGGACCCATTTCAATTCCTAAATGGATTCAGGTGAGTGGTCTTTTACATTATCTAAAATAGGAAAGGAAACAGCACTCTATGGTGGGCTAACATTTTCTGGGGACACTATGGTTCTTTCATACATACTTTGTGGCACACAAGACAAAGTATGAGATATGTGAAGTGGTAATACCATATATTACCTCTAGATGAAGATAATCTAAAAAAAAATTACAAGAAATCAGACAATAGAAGAAGATCAGATATTGGAGTTAGCAGATGAGAATATAAATTAACTATGATTAATATGTTCAAGAGAAAAGAGAGAAAAAGCAGATAAAATAGATGACAGGATAGATCATTTTCATCAGAGTATTATAGTTTTAAAAATTAAATCTAGTGGATATTATGTAATTATAAAATATAATAACAAAAATTAAGAACTGAATGGGTGAATTTAATACTTGATTAGACAGAGAAGAACCTCAAATCAGTGAATAAAATAGAGTCTAATGTACATGTAATTGAAGTTCCAGAACAGGGGAAAGAAAGAGTATAATAATAGCAATATTCATAAATGTTTTACCCATAAATACCCCTAAACTGATAAAAAATCATCAGGTCACAGGTTTAAAAAGTTTAGCATTAATGGAGGGATGCTGGTGGGGAGTGGGCTAAATGGATGGTGGGTATTAAGGAGGGCACTTGTTATGATGAGCATTGATGAATCACTAAATTCTACTCCTGAAGCCAATATTACACTACATATTAACTAACTAGAATTTAAATGAAAATTTGAAACAAAAAATAAAAAAATAAAAAGTTAGCAAATGTCCAAGAGGATTTAAAAAAAGAAACCTAGACACATCATCATCAAATTCCTGAAAAACAAAGGTAAAGAGAAATTTTTAAAACTTACCAGAACTTAAAAGACAAATCTTTGTCAAGGATTGACAAGCTGAATAGCCAATTTCTGAACAGAAACAACAAAAAAGAGAAGCATATGGGAAAAGGTCTCTCAAGTGCTGAAAGACATTTAACTACCAATCTGAAATGACATACCTAGCAAAAATATTCTTCAAAATGGACATGAAGATATTTTCAGACAAATGCATATTGTTAGTATGACTATATTTTTTAAAAAGTGGATTTTCTAAAATAAGGAAAATGAACACAGTCAAAAACATGGAAATGGAAGAGAAAATGGAAAATACCAAAAAGAGTAAATATTCAGGAAATAGAAATAAACATTGACTTTATAAATTAATTTTAATGTTGATATAGTGCTAAGTAAAATTAAAACTAAATGCATGGGAACAATAATGAAAAATTTGATAATGGGGGTTTTAAAGTAGTAAAAATGTTCCAAAGTTGCATTGGGAAGGTACATAATTATTTGGGGATGCTATAAGCTCTAAGAAAATAATGTTTTAGTACATATCTACTATTTAAAAGGGGGAAACTATAATGTTAAAAAAGTGAGTATTGAAAAGGACAGAAATGAAAAACAAAAGAAATATGAAATGTGAGAAACACATGGAAAAATTGTAGCTATAAAATCCATTAGATCAGTAATTACATTAAATGTAATTGGATTAATACTTCATGTGAATAAGAATAATTGGATTAAATACACAAAACCCAACTATATGCTTTTTATGAGGAAAACAGTTAATTCAATAACATTTCAGAAAAGTCAAAAGTAAAATGATGGGCTTGGGAGTCTAGAGAATATAAAGAATATTACTTCCCCCTTACAATAAGAACAAAAAAAGCTGGGCAGTTTGTAAATTCAGAAGTTCCTTGAACCCTTCCAAGTGCTAAGATTGTAGGGTTGAAAACTAATCTGAAATATGGACTGAGGTGTAAGAGCTTGCTTACCAGGGTATTTGTAGCCAGACACCAGTAAGACGTATTTAGCTAGAAGAGTTGATGGATTGGCAAAAGTGAATGTGGGCCAGAAAAAGAGTTGGAAGACTCTGAAATCCACAGATATGGGAGAAGGGAGGAGTTCATATTCTCTATGAATATCTACTAATGACAAGTACTCACTGGGAAGACTAGGGAAAGTCCTGAGAAGAGTCCTTCAGGGTGTAGACCAGGGGGAGAAGAGCAGCTGCTGTTGAAGGGGCACAAAACTACCCAGATGTTTCTCCTCTGTGGAACAAAGCCTTACTATGCAGGGCTGGGAGGACAATGAAAACTGCTGCCCCCAGGGTAGTAATAAAAACTCCTTGCAGTTGGAGGAGGGAAACAGAAAAACTACCTTCACCCCTGAGGGAGGAGGAAGAACCTATGCTGGATCCAGAACTATAGCTGGAAGATAGGCAAGAGGTTTTTAAAAGTTATACTCTCAAATCCAAGGAAACAGTAAGTATTCAACACTGAAGTTTAAACAGAACATCAGAGAATGCCACCTCTGCCCTGCTTCCCCACAAAGCTATGAAGCATATAGTAAAAGACAGTGGAGTATGGCAAAGAGAGCAGCCCCTCTATGTAGTACAGTATAAAGGGAAAACGTAAAGCTGAGGGTGGAGCACAGCCACTGGCCAACCAGCTCCCCATCTAAACTGTTATCACTGGAAGAATTTGAGCCTAGCAGGCACTCAAAGTAAAAAAGCAACAAGAAATCTCAAACCCAAAATGATGCTTTGATTAATATGAGCTCCCATACTAAAGGCCTAGCAGAAGGAAAGGTATGCCCTTTTCTAGGGTCAAAACCTATTTACCCCTAATGTTCTACATAAATCAAACACACGTGTGCGCGTACACACACACACACACACACACACACACACACACACACTCCCAAGAGGCAAAACAAT